GCAAATATTCTACGATAACACGAATACAGCTTTCGATGCAGCAGTCACGTGCATTCTGTAACAATAGTGAGAGGTGCTATTGTCCCGAATGCTAAGCAGACGTCGCAGTTTGACTATCCATGAAATCTTGATAAGCTTTCTGAAACGGGGTGTCGCGTCTCACGCTTTGTAAGCATTAATGTTTAAAATGTTACATGTTATCGAAACGTTCGATGTTAAAAGGGTGAATTTCCATGAATTTATGAGATTTATAGAGGTGCTAATTCCAATTTTGCTGAAAATTTCCCACGAAGTAATTACAAAACAAATAAATTTTATAAATTTTCATCTAAATTAAATAAAACTCTAACTAAATAAGTTATACAATGTATTATATAGTTTCTTTTCACAAATAAAAAGTTTTCTAATTTTTAATATTGTGTTTGTTTATTATTCTCATCGTTTATTGATTTTCGAGTGTTAATTATTAAATTTTATCTGTGATCACAATTGGTTTTTTATTTCATTTTAATAACGAAAATTTAATATTTTAAGATAACACGTTTTTAGTTTCAAGTCGTTAAATTATTCTCATTCTGCACGCATTTAACAGATTAAAAAATTGCTGCAATATTTACTTTCGCGAATTTATTAAGCTTTCTGAAAAAACAGCTTGCACAGCACTGTAGAACAGCACTGTAGAAGATTAAAATTTAATTAGAATCATTTCACAAAGTTGTAAAAGACAATCTTATTTTAAACAAGAATTAAATCTATTATTTTCAGTTTTGGAGAAAGAAACCATTGCAGAATTTAAACAATATATAGCGGTAGATTTCATGGAAGTAAATGGGGAGGGGGCCAAGAGAAAGGCATGTTTCTTTAAAACATTGTTATTAATTTTCTACACAGTAAATCCACATCTCCAAACCTAGTCTATACATTCGCGCTCTGTATACCCATCACGCGATACATGAAGATCTTGTTTCGTACACATACATACATAATTATCTTCCGTCATGGCATAAAAATGCTATTTGCAACATTTTGCAAATATATCACGCATTAGGCTCTCATTATGGCGGATGCGTAGCAACGCAGGCAACTTTTAATTAAATTATCACTATTAATATAAGATGATATAAACTTAATTGATAATTAATAGTTGTGGAATGGTAATTGATGGAATGAATACGTCATATAAATACTTGAAAAGATATATAAAATTAAAAAGTATTTCTACTATTGATATAATGATGAATTTTGTGTATGTGTATGTATGTGTAATAGTTAAATCATAGGTTTTTTTTTAAGACTGTGTACTGTTAAAAGAAAATGCATTATTTGTATCTATATACTTACAGACTGGTTCCGTTTCAGGTACATTAAATATTGATTACTGATAAAGTTATTACGGATAATAATTATATGCTGCTTTAAAATTTAAAATATGCAATAATATTGTCAATTATAGAGTCGTTTCAGTAATGCAATAAATAATCGTTAATATTCTGAAATAAGAAACATACTGCATAACAAATTATTACATCAAAATACATATGCAGACGTTGAAATTTATGAGAAAATGAATATATCCATTTTTTAGCCTATTAATTTCCCTAATCTAGCAATATTCGCCACAAATTAGTCACATGCGACATTCTCGCGGCGAATTAGCCTCTTCGTTACGTATCACCACGATCCATGAAACCACACTGCAGTAAATATAGTTATGCAACCTGTAAATTTCGTACGCATATACGATCATGCATCCAGATTAACAATCTCTCGCAGAACAATCTTGTTATCAACCAGTGAAGTTTACGGAAATTGCGCGCCCATAAAACGAACGATAAATTTTCTCATTCACGCTATTGTCATTAAAATACTACGTGTTTCTTTTTCCATTCGAAATGTCTTTTTGTCTAAAGCCTATATCAGACGATCGATAATTCGTGACATCACATATATACACATAACGATAACACATCACATATATAAATTTTTATATATTTATTAATCTTTTGTTTTATTTTTTTTTTTAATACTTGAAAATTTTCCCATAATCCTCTCAAGAATTATAAATCGTCTGAAATCGGTTTTCCTTTTTCTCTCTGACGGTAAAATTGCTTTGCCAAGTCTTGATCGTTTGCAAAACCGCTTTAACGCCAGACGTCTCGTAAACATCGATTTACAACGTTGCACATTACGTTACATTAGGAGGACACTAGCCGCCTTTATAGCCGTAGCCTAACAGATACGTGATATACGAATAGATCGAGCTGGCAAACGATTTCGTAGCAATTTCATACCCCGTAAATAATTCGTTCCTCGTAAATATATATAAGGAAGAAATTAGAAATTGAAATATGTATAAATGATGATAAGAAAAAAACTAAAAAAAGTTGAAATTTATACATCTTCTGAAATTCATATATATACTACTGTCAAAATTAAAATAATTTTTTCCAATTTATTTTAAATTAGAACATTATAATTAAAATTAAATAAACTTAACCTTATAATTTATAGATTTATTTTCTTTTTAAATTTCTTTATAAACCCCTTTCTTTCTCGTTTTTCTACAGTTTTAAAAGTTAAACGCATTGAAGTTATTGGGAACTGTTATTCATATATTTGAATTCCAATTTTTACGAATTGCAATTTGTATAAACTGCAGTAAAAAAACACGTTCGCGATATCGTCCACGCTCGACCGTATTTACGTTAGTGATTGTTCTGCATTCTGAAGTATACATAACTATATACGTATACCGTCTTCTTTGATCTGCCAGCCAGTGACATAAAGAAACTAATAAAAGAAAAAAAAAGAAAAAGACTAAAAAACCAGTTACACCTTCGTAAAACCGATTGTTTCGTGATCACTGCGTTTCGTTATCAATCTTTTCCAAAAATATATATTTCTATCTAATAATAGACCGAAATGATCTGAGAGAGGACTTTAATTTAAAAAAAAAATGTCAAAAATATATTACGCATATTTTATTAACATATGCTTCGATATAAAAGTATCTCAGTAAAATATATTATAGAATATTTTATTAATTGATTAATAATATATATACAATGAGATTAAACAATATTTAAATCTATTATATTCCTTTATTGTTAATTTATTTGTTACTAATGCTCTCATGTGCCAAGTCTTATTAAACATAAAAAATCAGCGTAAAATAATGTTTTTGAAATAAATACTGTTTCTCTAAAATAGATGTGTCCTTTAAAAAAAGAAAACAAGATTTTTGACAAACAAAAAGCCCTTTCTGAGATAAATCGATCCAATATAATTTCGACGACATTGTTATTTTCTAAGACTATCCACAAGATTTCTAAAGAAATACCTAGATGATGTGAGAACGATAACATATCAACAAAAACAACTCACATTTCTCCATTCTTTTTAAATATATTTCCAAAGATTAAAAATTAATTCGATCCAAATTAGAATCGAATATTCGCTACATTCTGCATTTGTTATAATAAACAATATACAATAAATTATAATAAATATATATAATATATGTACGAATAACGGAACATCATCAACATTCTTACGTCTTATTGCTGTACATATAAGTATATATACTGTGTATATGTGTATATATAATATATATTTCTGCTTTTTTATCTTTGGCATTTTAGTGATTCTCTTTAATAAGATGCCCTCATAAATTTATTTATTCCGATAAAATGATTTGTCTTGCGGGAGGGATGATACGCTTTAACATTTATACACGAAGTTGCACGAGCCTAAAACGTAGATTCGTATAATTTACAATGATACCTCGATTAACTCTAAAAGCTCATTATTATAAATCCCTTTGATTATAACGAAACGCGCTGTCGCAGCACAACATGTACAAAGTGATCCCCTAAACGAGTAGAACGGCTTTATCTCCCATCTTCCAATCCTTTTCTTTGGTCTCTTTATTTTTCCCTTCGCTTCTCCTTCAATCACGGGTCTACAGAAACACCTCAAGCCGTTTCTTTAATTAATCCTTTCATGCTTTCTTGCAGATTATTCTATCAGTTGCGAGTTAATTTCTCTCCTCAAAAAAAATCCTTGAAGCGTACGTAATTTTTGATTAATTTCAGTAATTTTTGGCTATCCAAAAATGTAAATGATTAAGGGGCAAAAATAACAGGATGAAGAAAATGATTTTTTATACGCAAGCACTTTAAGGATCCAAATTTGCTAATATTATACATATATATGTAATTAACATTAAAATGTTCTATTGGTATTCACCATATTATTTGTTCAATTTCAGACAAATTTAATTAGTTACAAACGTATATGATGCCAATTACGGCAAACTAGATGCTCGCGCACGAATCAAATGTTAGTTCGAAAGTTCATTTCGACGTTATCGGACCACCGCTAAAATATTACTGCTGAATCGGAACATCAATCTGCCGACGGACAGGAGCCTTATTTACGGACCTGATGGAACGTAGCCGGAACAGAAATAGACCCTTGGGGACGAGCGGCGAATATGTCCCTAAAATAGGTCGGCCGCAGGACGAAATAGGCACGAGTATGGCGTACATACTCTATTCACGCTCTCTTTGGGATTATGACCTTTCCTCTCGCAAATAATATTTGATATTTGCGAACACTTGATGCAAATATATGACGTCGCACACCTTCATGACCTTAGCTTTAACGACGACTTGAAATTCTTTTGACGAATTTGAAACGATCTTAATTTTAGTGATAAATTCTTTGTGTGTTCTTTGAACAGTCTTAATTTCAATGATAAATTCTTTAAAATATTGGCTTTCTTATTCTTCTTTATATTTTATCCCTGAATTTCTCTTTCAGACCTTATCTCGAAGAGATAATAAAAAAAGACCATGAGATATAAAGATACGATAAGACAATATATATATAATATCAACGTTTCTATAATATTAAATTGATCAAAAATTTTGATCATTTTTTTTTGTTTCATCAACATAAAAAGAATATATTATTTTTTCAAAAAAATAAAACTTTGTCAAACTATGCGTTTTCTTATATTTCAAAAATTAAGTTCCTTTTTTTTCTCAACCTTTTTGTACAGGGAAGAATATATTACAGAATTGAATTAATTATTAAACATTTTTTTATAGGAAAAGGAAGAAACGAATTTTTTGATCGGCTTGATTTTTACTTTTAAAATTATCTGTCCTACCTGCCATTTCGGTTCCTACTCATTTTTTTTTTTAATTCAAAAGTTGCTTCGAGGACTCCGCTGTTACTTTCACCGGATCGCATGATCCATTTAAATACACGCCTCGAGGTGGACGTTGGTCATCTCGCTATTGCGCAACTGATTGTTGACGTGCAGCTCGGATGAGGCGTTGCTGTGCACGAGGTCCTGTTTGCGATGCACCTGGCGCAGATCGCGCACCGGTCCAATCGCGCGGCAACAGCTTTCGAGGGTTTTCCGAAAGGCCGCGCGGAATTCGCGATTGAAGTACGCGTAGATCAGCGGATTCAGGGCACTGTTGAAATAGCCCACCCAGAACACCGCCGCTACCACCACGGCGCCGCTCTCGCACGAATCGCATAAAGCCGTGATGATATACCTGTATCAAGCAGAGACATTCGCAATGTTAATGCATTGAAAGACAAAATTGCTTTCCTCAGAAATTTTTTTTTTTCGCGTTAAATCGGAGAATTCTCTTTAATTTATTAATGCATGCATTATGCAATAAACCTGCTATAATGTATACAATTTTTAAAAATTAAGAAAGATTTATAAATACATAAATTAGTTTAGTGAAAACATAATAGGATACAAAAGATTGTATGACATCACAATTTTAATCACATTCGAATCTATAATAAATTATACTGCATAATAGATCACGTAATAACTGCTACATATACGTTTTATGAAAATTTCTACTTTCCCGAGAATTCATATAACGTTGCATTTATTATTAAGAAGCATTCTCTATTAATAGAGCATTCTCTATTAATATACAGGACCTTGATACAATGATATTAATTATAATGTGTATCATAAAATCTAATTATTTTACACTAAAATATATTGCTAAATGTAGTTAACATACCTACATAACAAGTAGACATACATAACAAGAAAAGTTCATACTCCTATTAATTCATAATTTTTTACAACTCCCCAAATTTTTCCTCATTTTTACTTCTGTCAGAGTCCTATAACTCCTTAAGTATATTACGCCATCTTTCTTAACGAGTTTTTAATTGCAGATTATGTATTGACATATATACAATCGATTGTGACATTTGTGACATGATTAAATATTAAATAAACTATAATAATGCAAAAAGAAAAAAAGGACATATTTTTCAATTCTAAACAACGCATAAGGTTTAGTTGCGAACATCCGTATCTAGTATATCCGTGTACGTAGTAATGATCCGTATATTGCGGCGGAAAGGAAGAAACGAAGTATCTCATTTTCTGTCGACGTGACCTACATGCACCTGACGTCGAAATTGTTTCCATCGACAAGAGAAGAATGGATTTACAGGCTTCCAGAGGGGGACGATTCTCCTCCTAGACGCGATCTCTCTTGAACCGCATTGTTATATGTGATTTCTCCCTCCCTTCCCCCTCCCTATTATCGATTTGAAAGAGGGCAAGAAATAACTGCATTGAATCGCTCAATGTTAAAATGCCGCGATTCTATGAAGCTAAAAATAAACCGTCTTTACTTCAAAATCTGCTCTAAATCTACTGGAAATCCACTTAGAACTTTTCTATTTCCGAATAAGATCTCTTTTTATTCGGGGAAATGGAAAATTTAAGTAAATTCCAAATAAGTTTTGGAAAGCAGACTGTACTTATATATTTGTGAATTTTTTTTAAGTTTAAAGTTTTTACTTGAAATTTTTATTTCTAAACAAAATGAGAGTAGATTAATACAATCAGAGGTAGAGTCTGTTTTATATGTATATATAAGCGGGTTTCTTGTAAAAAAAAATATTCTAAAACAAATGATTTTCAATATCAATGGAGCTATTTATAACTATTTCTATTTTTATTTGTTATTAATTATATAAAATTTCAGACAAATACCACGCTTAACTATTCTTTAATTTTTAGTACACTGTGCATAAAAGAAGCTATAAAAATTAATTAGAAAGAGTAACTTTTTACTCCCATAGAACGATATGGCATCATTGTTCTTTTACGCGCATTTACATCGTTGATCGATACAAATCAAACTATGTGTCTCGTATTAGTGTATTAGCTTTACTAGCTAAGAATAGAACGTCTATCGGTTAAGGTCAACTTTCTTTCTCTCTGCCCATGTGAATGGCTAAAGTTCTTTACATCGAGATAGTTCCTCATTGACCGTCGTGTCGTTCAATTCCTTTAAAACTTTTATCCGCGTTTCTCTTTCTTTAACGATGACCGGCGCAACATAATTGCTACACAAAATCGATACTTGATTCCTTTTGCCTACTTTTTATGCAATAGCCTGCACCTTAATTTATTCAAGATGATTTTTCATGCAATATGGTCTCTGTATTAAATCGATAAATTATAGTCAATAATAATATAGCACATGATCACATACATTATCTCGTATATACAACGGTTGAGAATATTTCATTCCAAAATTTATTGTTAAATAATAAAAATTGATAATACATGTAATAAAATTATAAATCAATTTTTCTGAATGTATAATATATAAATTATATTATATATTGTATTATATATTGTAGATTGATTAAAGTACCTATATATGTATACATATAGGTAATCTTTACAAAATTTATTTGTGTCTCTGTTACGTTGACAGATTCAATTTGTCCAAGAAAATATTCGCGTAGGGCGAATAGTAACACTCTAAGACGTGTCAAACGGTGACAAAAAGAATTGAAAAAGCTTGGTGGGCAAGAATGGAAAAGTGGGTCAAGGATTTGCCCCGTAATGAGGCTAGGCAAAGAAGGAGAGCGAGAGCGAGAGCGAGCGAGAGAGAGAGAGAGAGAGAGAGAGAGAGAGAGAGAGAGAGAGAGAGAGAAAAGCAGAGTATTGGCTTGTATTATTCGGCGGAATAATAGGAACAGAGATCCGATTCTCGAATATATAGGAAAATTGATAGCCGTATAGTGAATTTAGCGGCGATATACTATTGGAATCGCGCGACGAGAAATCAATTCCATTGTTTTTCCGACGAAGTGATAGAGTTGGTGGAACTACCAACAACGGTGTAATAACAATTGATAACGAGCAAATAATCGAAAGCTCTGAATTGTCCCGTTTCTTCCTCGTGTTTTCTTTTCCATACGTCCCAAGGTATCATGCCACCTGTTATATTACCGCGATTATGTATCCTAGTTCAGGCTCTTTTCTTCATCAGAGGATTGATATAGCAATTATGCGAAGTAATATTAATAATGTTAAATATTAATCATATAAAACAAAGAAAATATTTATAAAGAAATGCGCGAAATGTGTAAAAAATATAGAAAATGTTACGTTTTATAATATCCATAATGTACGAAATTACAGAAGGTTGTAAAAGAGTTGTAAAATGCTACAAAAATATTGCTATAAATATATATTGCTTGAACTATATAAATTTAATGCAAAAGTAGGTACAAATATCAATTACGAAAAATTTCCTCAAATGAAACATCGCGGATTACCGCACTTTACTTTGACGTGGATCACTTGAGAGATCAAAGAGATTGCGAAAGTGCAACAGGACTCGAAATATGAAACTGGCTGAAAATCGATTAAACTCAAGTATATACGGAAGCATTTAGCTTTCCTTTTTGTAAGCTGATTTTCGGATCGATTCGGATTATCGTGAAATATAACAACTACGCTTTTTCTTTCCCTCAGCTGTCTTTCGAATTATTGAACTTCCTTGACGCCCGTGGGAAATTTTTCACGAAATGAGGAGCCACTAAGTGATTACATGAAAAAACACTTTGGTGCGTCTATTTTGGGGAGACCGTTAATGTAATCCATCTCAGTTTTCGACTTAAGAAATATTATTTTATTTATAATTTTGCTTAAAATCAACAAAATTATTAATTTTTTATATTAATTTATATTAATCGATAAAATACTATTTATTTAATTTTTTATGTTAATTTTTTATCCTCTTATATATAATTTAAGTTCTTAATATTTAGAATAATCTAACTTATTAATATTTAGAAAATATTAATAAGTTGAACATTAGATATTAGAAAATATTAAAAATTAACATAATTCGACTAAAACTCGACCACTTGCATTTCAAATTTTTATGTTGTATACAATTTAGAAATTAAATTGAAATTATTAATATTTTTGTATAAATGATCATTATATATATTTCTATACATATCTATATATTTCTTTATATAAGACATTTCTATAAATATTAATTAACAATTTAGTAAAACGAGAAAAATAGAAAGTAAGAAAAAAAATAGAAAAAACATTCCATTTTTCATTCAATGTTCTAATAGATTTTATCGGATATCAATATAACTGGTTTGCAACAGATATAACTGTTTGTATTTTTTTCGAAATTTTGCACAATATATTGTGTCTTGTAAAATAGCAACGTAACCATCTATATTCATTATATACGAGCGGTGAATATTTATCGTGCTAAAAGCTCATAATAAAAGTTCTGAAAACTAGAAGGATAACCAACCAGAAAAGATATAAATTCATATTTCCCGTCTTAAATGTATATTTTTCACGCATTACAATATTAAATATTAAATAACATAAAATTTAAATATAAAAAAGATGTATATTAAAGTGTAAATTTTTTGCATTAGATTAAATTAATTAATATTATATTTTACATAAGAAAAATATATAAATATAAATTCTATGATAAATATAAATACGTACATATTTATATATGTACATACAATTTCTCACTTAAAACATTTTTGCTTCGAATATACACGCATAGTTTGCGCAATTCCCTTCATTAATAATAAAGTCTGGCTTTTTATTGAAAAAGTCCTGTACTAAGAAGTTAAATTTAGAAATGGTTGACTTTTAATCTTTCGTCGTCGTCACTAAGTCTATTGTGATATGTCCGTCATGCAACTGCGTTATATCTCGAGGAGAGGCACTTGACACACACCGGAACCACCCTTTCTCCGCTTCGAGGTGGCTGCACACAACCCTCAAACTCTCTCCGTTGCAAATCTCCGGAGATCGCGGCGGCATACACTACTTTTCTCTATCGATCGCGGCTCGCTATATACCCGACCAACCGACTCTCACCTCCTTTCCGCGTTACTGCACCCTCAGGAATTTTGGGGCGACACGGCGTAATATTCCTCGGCCTTCCACTTTCGTTCGGATATCGTTCAATAATAATCGTCAAATGGACGATTCCTCGAGATTGACCTCGATTGATGCGTATCCTTGCCAGGAACTTTTGGCCACTATATGTAGCTTATATATATGTTACGAAAGTACTATGTATATATGTGTATTATAAAGAGAGACTTCAAGTATATAATTCAGGAGTTATATATGCTATATAATACTATCGGAAATTATTATATTATATAACATATAACTTATTTGATGTCAAACTCTTTGTAATATATAGAGCGTCCTTTACTAAGCGCACTTCCTTTAAACTGCAATTTTTTGCTAATCTTAAACTCATTTTATCTTTTATTTAAAAAATAATATCGTAAAATTGCTTTTGAGTTGCAAGCATTTGATGTATGAAGTTCAGAAAAATTAAGTTTCGTATAGAAATCGATATATAGGTATATAATAGAATTTTAATTTGAGTTACACAGACAGGAAGAGTGAAAAGTTTTGTTGAAAACTGTTACAAAATGTAAAATACTGTAAAATACTGTACGATAAATCATGATATCTCTCTCTCTCTCTCTCTCTCTCTCTCGCTAT